GTTTGTGGGCGAATTGTAATATCAGGCTGAATAGGAATGCAGACGGGACAAATATGTTGGTATTTTTGCGTTGCTTGGATAGTGTTAATGAGATATGTTTGCAATGAAGGATTATGTTTTGTTTGTGCTAACGAATTTGTTTGGATTGTAACTTCGGGACGAAGTTCCTGGGGGTCTAGCTCCTGTCATGCCGATGATCAACACCCCTGGTACTGGATCGGGTGCATGTGACGTGACTGCGTCGCATGAATGGCGTGATCGAATTAATTAAAAGTCTAATTAGTAATAGCTTAATGCGTGTAACTCGGATAATAGTTAATCCAGAAATAATCTTGTATTTAATGCAGAGGGATCTAATAATAAAAAGACAGTCTTAGTCTTTTCTTTCGCTAGTGAATAACCAGTGCCTTACATATAAATAAACTGTTACCTGTCTGTGTGGTCGGCGTAGTAATATTGGTGGAAGACTTGGTACGATACGCCAGTGACAAGTGAGTGCAAAACCTAAGTGGAAACTGACCGAAAGACCCCATAAGTGCACAAAAGCACGACAGAAGGACCTGGGCAATTGAACAGCCCTACTCGCCGAATACGTCGAAGTTGCACTGTGTGAAGGCTGTGCCTATTGAAACTTGCTGTAATCAGTGAAGCGAAGGTGCCTCGGTGGCATTTGTGAAGTTAAAAGTCCGTGATCAAACGTTAAACCAAGGTATATTGTAAGTAAAGAGTGTATTGAACGAATAAGGAAATAGAAACGAGAAGCATACCTGAGTAGTGAAATGAGAATGGAATCGGAATTGAAGACGGAAAACGGTGACTCTTTGGTAGCGTTAATTAGGACCATAGTGAAAGTGATGAAAAAGGAAATCGTAAAAAACTTGGGAACAATCCTAGGGAAGAAACCAAAACGTAGGCCACGTTTATGTTACGAGTGTCGTCGCAAAGGACATTTGGCTCGTTCGTGCCCGTCTCTGAGAAATCAAGACCTACGTTTGATGGAAATGCATCGTGTGGACGTTGGTGAAATGAATTGTGATTTTTTTGAACGAGATTTAAGGTGTAGAAAAGAAAAGGTCAGGGACAATGAAAGGGCAATGAAGGCGTTAGTAAGAATAAAAGGAGAACATGCAGAAATGGCCATCCGAATTAGTTCGTGTACAAATAAAATGAGCGTGAAATATGCAAAGAGATTAGGGTTTACCTGGAAATGTTTAGATAATAGAATTAGTGATCGTATGGGCGATGAATTCGTTGGATATATTCCTGACGTTGATGTAGCTGTATGTGGTGTTAGTGTAAATCAACCATTCTATGTCGTGCGGGAGCTAACTTCTGATATAGTTCTGGGAATGCCGTGGGTTGCAAGATCTAGGTGTAATATTCAGTGTAAAGATGGTCAGTGTCGCTACACAATCGAATCAGGATCCAAGAAAGCAACATTTGAAGTCACAGATGAACCTACGAAAGGAGTTAAGGTCGAAAGTGAACATCAGATTATGGACAATATTGTAGACATTAGGTGTGTAGTAAATGGAGTAGATAAGAACGAAGTAGATAACGTGAGCAATACAGCAAGAAATGGTGCGAAAAGACATGAAACCATAAAGGAAAAACTTACTATGAAAAATAGTCATATTATGAGTAATGCCGACGCAGCGCATACGGTTGGATATTGCCCTGAAAATGGTGTGAAAAAGGATGAATGTGTAACATTCACTCATTGTCAAAAATCTGTTGAAATGAGTGACGCTTATGAGACAGTTGTTGGACACTGCGATCGAAATGGAGACGGAACTGAAAAGGGAAAGAATCAGAAAATGCGTTGGAAAAGAAGCTACTATAAAGAAAGGAAAAAGGATACGAAGTTAAATGGTGAAGTCCGAGATGTGGAGATCTTTAGATGCGTGGAAGTAGAGGGTAAAAGGTTTGTTGGTGATGTTGAAAGCGATGAGCCCAGTAAAGCGAAGTTTTATGGAGCTGGGGTCAAAAAGGACAAACCTAAAGCATTCGAACATTATCAAAAATCAGCAGAATTGAGTGATGCTGATACAACGTTTGGTGAAGGCTGTCGCCATCATGATGAAATTGGTATTGAAAAAGACGAAGATAAAGTCTTCGAATATTATCAAAAATCTGCTGAAGGTGACCTAAAGTCACAAGACGATCTTGGACCGTGTTATCAACATGGGATTGGAATTGATAAAAATGAACATAAGGCATTCATGAATTATCAAAAATCCACCGATGTGGGCAATACTAATGAAATGATTGAGGCTGGACATCATTATCAAAATGAACCGATGATAGTGATTGAAGCACCATTAGACGAAGTTATAAAAATAGATGCGATGATGAGGAGTTTACTAGAATCGTTGACGAAGACTGAATGTGACATTAATAATGCGAACAATGAGGATGACGATGATGATGAAAAGATCGATGAACCTGGAGGATCTAGCTCAGATCATAGAGCTGAAACTGATAATAAAGGTGTGAATGGTAAAGGCAGATCTTTGAATAACAACTGCCATGATCCTCTTAGGAAACAATGGATGAAAAGGCATATGATGTTTATGAACAATCGGATTAGAGATCCTGCATGGCTACGAAATCCTGAACATCGATTGATCAACATGTATGGTGTTACAACGATTGTAAATCAAAAGGTAAATTGGAGTCACGCTGTGTCATATAATGGTGAAAAGATCGAATTTCTCAAGCGACTATATTTGGATCACATGATTGGTTGCGATGGAGTGGTAAATGCGACTTTTGGAAGTCGTCTTACTATACGCAAACTGGGAGGCATGATGTTAGGAATAAATGATTTGTTATGAACGATTTGAATGGATGTGCGAAATTGTTGGTGTTAATTGAGAAACATTTAAACATTGCATATTTAATGGTAATTATTTGGTGAGTTATGTTTTAGTTTAGGTTTGTGGGCGAATTGTAATATCAGGCTGAATAGGAATGCAGACGGGACAAATATGTTGGTATTTTTGCGTTGCTTG